AAAACTGCTGCCATTAGACTTTATACTTTGCTTTTCTTACTAAGACCACAGCTGTGGACAACATCATTCTCATCATGTCTCTGTATTCCCATTGTGAGAAGTTAGACATGTTTGTAAATGTCTGGTCAGGTTTGGAGGCACATTCAGCACCCCTGCAAGACATTTTCCTAGGATATGAAAGGGAAATGACTGAAAAAAAGTCATTAGCCATTGTTATATGGATTGCAAATCCTGTCAGTTGGACTTACAGGTCACTCTCAGTGCTTATACATGTGGCCAAAGGTAACAATTCCTCAATTAGCCTGTCATTCTCCTACTTTGTGTTTACTTTTCTCACATAAAGATCATTTCAGTTGGCTTCAAATTGGATCTGAGGTCAAATCCTGAGCAAAACCGAGTAAATAAAATGAATGAAAAGAATACTACATTAATATGATGCATTGTGTAAAAAATATGAAAATGAATATGCATACGTATATGTAAGAATGGGACATTGTGTTGTACACCAGAAATTGACACATTGCAATTGACTGCAGCTGAATATAAAAATAAATTAATTTTTAAAAATATGATGCATTCAAAGCATTAATCAAGCAGTGGAGAGGGACAGTGCAAGAGTGCTATAGATCCGACATGAGTAGGATTGAGAAGATTTATTTTTCACCTTCTCTACATCCCCCAGGCCCTCTATGTCAAGCAGAGCTGGAGTGCAGTCTGGCTTCTTGGGTTGAGGCACACACCTCACCTGATGCCCTTCGTGTGAGACCTAACTGTGGAGCCCAGGGAGAAGCCTGTGAGTGGGCACAGGGAGAAGAGGGAGTGGAGTTTTACCAGCAGACAGATCTGGAAATTGAGATAAAATTAACAAAATCTGAGTTAAAAGAAATAAATGAAAGCATAATGAGTATTGGTCCTAATTACAACTAAAAAAAGAGAGAAATTAGAATGTCCAGTATAAACTGAAAAGTTTACTTTTACCTTCAAGATCATTTTAGCTTCTATTAGTTTTTTTTTTAATTATTACCTTACTCCTTCCATAAAAGCATATTTATACTTTAAAGAGGATGTTAAGGCAAAGTGGAAATTAAGAGTTGAGTCTTATCCTCCCGAACAGAGAAAACGTCAGAAGCCCATCACTGGATTGGAAGTGAGCTTTCAGTGTTCCTCCCCATCCCTAACTTTGTCTCCTCACATCACCGTCCTGAATGCTGGGAGTGTGGGTGGACAGAAGGGACTCGGAGAGGCCTTGGCGCTGCCCTCACTCACCATTGCTCTCACCAGCCAGCCTGTTCACCAGGTAGGACTGGCCTGTGCTGTACAGGCCCACCCTGGCCATCACCACCAGTGGCTGTGGAATGGCAGGCAGGATTGTCAGAGATTTTGAAACAGCCAACACTAACCCATTAGTGGCAGAAGAAAAACCAGGCTTCCCCTTTTCTATGATCAGGACCCACTTCCTCTTATAACTGTGACACATGGGGCCTGCAGGCAAGCAAATATCTGTCCAATTTTATACCATGAGGCATAACAATTCTACAAAATAGGGATCAATCAGTGACTGACTCAGAGAAAGTGGCTGCACAAAGATTTTATAAGCTCCCAAATTACTATAACTTGTAACCTCTTCTTGCTGCTTGCAATAAAAATACAAGTTCCATTGGGTCAACTCAAACAATGCTCTTTATTTCATGTTTGGGGCCAGTGTGAATAGTGTGAGGATGCCAAAACTTCATAGAATTCTTTTCTAGTTCCAATTGCCCGGAATTTTAGATTCATTCACAATGGACCTGGTAGCTCCTGTTTTGTAGGTGAGGGCTGTACATTCCCTGATGGAACAAGCATGGCTTATGCTAACGCAGGTGCTGGCACGTAGCACTTAGTACATGAAAATAATAATGAGAATAGCTTCCAGTTTCTGCACACTTGAATCAGACCCAGTGACAACTTCTTTACATGGATTATTTTCTCTTAGTCTTACAGATACTTTTACTACAACATTAGAGACATTCAATAACTTGATACAATCACAAGGTCCTAAATAAAATTTGAATTCAAAAAGTTTTGCTCCAGAACCCATGCTATCAACCACCTCACTTAGTAGCTGTGTGTTTGCTGTGTGAACAAAAATGACAATAATGTTTCTTTTTTAATTCTTTCTAGGCCAGAATATTTATGTATGTAACTTAATATTCATAATTACACTTTATAATATGAGGTAACTATTACCCCATTGTCCAAGGAGGGAAAAGAGTCACAGGTGAAAAATATGTCAGCATAAATATTCTCTGTATCCAATAAAAGATTACATATGTGCAGATGTTGAGTGCAGAGTTCTATGAGTATTCGATAGAATTGAATAAAATTCAATGATAGAACAAAATTCCTTTCATTACTCTTCATTCCATTCTCTATCTCTGAGTTTCCATGGATCCAGGGGTGTGACTGCATGACCACTACAGAAGTCTTAGTGCCTGACAATTGCAAATCTACACTGGTGGCTTGTGGGCACAAAATCTTGGGGACAACAGAGCACAGTGCTAACGTTCTCATGGCTAAAGCAGGGAAAATATCATACACCATGATCAAGTTGGATGCATCCCAGGGTCAAAAGGATGGTTCAGAAATGCAAATCAATCAATGTCATACGCTGCATCAACAAAAGAAAGGACAAAATCACATGATCTTCTCAATAGATGCAGAAAAAGCATTTGATAAAATTCAACACCCATTAATGATAGAACTCTTACCAAAGTGGCTATAAAGGGAATATATATCAACATAAAAGAAGCTATTCATGACAAACTCAGAGCCAGCATAACACTCAATGGTGAAAAGCTGAAACCCCTCCCACTAAAATCTGGAAAAAGACAAGGATGCCTACTCTCACCGTGTCTATTCAAAATAGTATTGGAAGACACAGCAATCAGACAAGAAAAAAATTAAGTGGGATCCAAACTGGAGGAGAAGAGGTAAAATTGTCACTATATGTAGATTACAAGATACTATCTACAGAAAACCCTAAAAGCACGACATAAAAACTCCTGAAGTTGATAAAAATTTTGGAAAGGTAGCAGGATACAAGATTAACATTCAGAAATTAGTTGCATTTCTATACACTAACAGTGAAATATCAGAAAAAGACAGTAAATAAACATCACTTCTCAAATTGTATCCACAACAATAAAATACTTTGGAATAAATCTGACCAAGGAGGAGAAAGACTTACATGCAGATAACCATAAAACACTGATTAAGGAAATTAAAGATGACTTAAAGAAATGGAAAGACACCCCATGCTTTTGTGGTAAGAAAAAATATTTTTAAAATGGCCATACTTCCCAAGGCAATTTACAAATTTAGTTTGATCCCTAGCAATTTACTCATGATATTTCTCACAGAACTAGAACAAATAATTCTAAAATTCACATGGAATCACAAAAGACCGAAAATTGGCAAAGCAATACCAAAAAAAAGAATGAAACTGGAGGAATAATCCTCCTAGACATCAGAGAATACCAAAGAGCTACAGAAATCAAAACAGTATGCTTTTGGCACAAAAACAGACACATGGATCAATGAAAGAGAATAGAGAGCCCAGAAATAAACCCACAGGGTCTACAGTCAATTAGTCTTCAACAAAAGAGGCAAGAGTAAACAATGGAGAAAAGCAGCCACTTTGGCAAGTGGTGCTGGGAAAACTGG